TAGAAAGTGATCAGAGTACAAACTGGAGAGCTTTAGCAGGCGTCTGATGTTGTTTTCGCAAAATCTGAAGACACAAATTGTTGAGAATTTGCATGTTTAGTTTTGAAAACCGCTTTTGTAGGTTTTGAAATCTATGCTTCAAGTAAACAAAGGTCAGACGCGTTGTAAAAAGCAGTCACAAAGAGATAATGGGCATTAAACGAGCTGATAAAGTGGTTTACGACCTCTGAAATGGCAAGTTTTTAAAAAATATGCATAATTTTCGAAATTTTCATAATTTTTGGGAAAGCCGATGAAGTCTCAAAAATCATTGCAAGTACAAAAATTGGGTATTTAGGGTCAAAAAATATTAGTTACGCCACTCTGCACTTGCAGTTTGTCAACGAAATTTGCATATTTATGTAGTAGCAAACACAAAATTTGATGGATAAAATAATGTAATTTGGTTGAAAGGATACAATCTGATGCTAGAAAAACATGACTAACAGACGTTTTGGTACTTTATGTTTACGAAATTTTCATTTTGCAAGAAGACAGTGGGCTCGTAATACAAGACATTGCAGTAGTAACCACTACTACTAGAGTCAAATTCAATCCTGTCAAAGGCACTCGAATAGCTCGAGGGCGCCCTTAATAATCCGCTCATTGCGAATCTTACGACTTTACGAATCAAATTACCAATTTTTGATGCAAAAAACACCTGCGCCGGCCCCCAAAATAGGTCAAATTACGGGAGTTTATCGAATATTCTGACAAGGAATTGCCAGAAAATGATTTCAGTATGAAGTATATGGTAGGGTAATCTCTGATTTCTACAATATTCCACGAAAAATGCTGGAGATATTAAATTAAAAATTGTTTAAAAATCTTGTGATAATTGGGGAAAGGAGGAAGTTGGGATCTGAGGCGGATTAGGTTCGGAAATTCGATGAATTTCAAACGTTAAACACGGGATTAGGATTGGCAAGGGCTGATCTTTGAATTAACACGGGAAGAACTCCAAGTGTGGCGCTGGGAGTTTATGAAACTTGGCATAAATTAAATTTAGTTTACCTAGAACATGTGCAAAACTTCTAACTCGCACTTTGCAGAAACTACCGAGATTTTTAGATTAGATGATACAGAGACGGACCTGATCCAGTGGCAAAAAACGTACCATTTTGCATCCAGAAATATCAAAAATGTAGCAAAATACCTCCCTCTCCAAGCGAAAAAACTCCAACTTCAAAAACGCATCCTTCAAAACGGAGTTTTTTCACTTGGAGAGGAAGGCATTTTGCTACATTGTTTGGTACTTCCTGGATGCAAAATGGTACGTTTCTTGTCACTGGATCAGGTCCGTCACTGTAATATTAATAAAAAATTGTCTGAGATACCCAATTTTTTAGGCCTTAAACGTGTCATCATGACGGATTTTCTGGAATTTTATTGTAAAATACGATATTTGGTGACTTATTCTCTGAAGTTTTGAAATAAATTTGTTGGAAAAGGTATTTAAAAATTTTGACTTGCCGTCACTGTAAGTGTGATTTTTGCGTGAATGGCATGTGAAAAGAAAAACCCATATCCCATCAAACGGCGGGCGTCGCCGAGTGTCTGGTCGCAAAGTGTAAAAAACGGGGTTCGTAGCTAACGGGGAGATATCAAAGTTCGGTACATTTGCAGAAACCATTTCTCAATGGTTTCTGCAAATTTTTTTATGTCGAAAAATGCCAAAAAATCGAGATTTTTTGCGAGGATTTAAGTTTGGCTATCATGACCAATTATCCCGAGAAAATTTTTTGTCTTTTCTCAATATATCGTACTCTAGATATCGAACAGGATAACAATACTTTATTTAAAAGCCTTATAGCATTTTTTGACCGAAAAATCTTTATCGTTTCTGCAAAACGCAAGTTAAAGGTTTTGTCACTCCGTGCCCAACTTTGATGGAAATCTGAGGGTGCTTGAGGAAAATAATCTCCGAAAATCCCCAATAATCTTTATAACAATGCCAAACAATACCCCAAACAAAAGTACGAACTAAAAAAAAACGTAAAAAACGGCTTTCACGAGACCCCCAAAAAAGGCCTCTGGCCAGAAGCCGCTGAGCAAAACACACACACAACGAAACGAAAAAAAAACCTCAAAACTCGCAAAGAAAGTTTCAATGCAACCAACGTTTCGCAACAAACGTGCTCAGATTCCCATAAAACGGTCAATTATTTGGTCCGAGAGTACAAAAACATAATAAAAAGCAGGGAGAAAATAGCGCCCGAGGGCCGCGAGATAAAATTCCTCGGGAATGCAAACGGGGGAATTGCCTGCGGGCACAAACCGCCGACCGAAAAGGGCTCTCCATTTTTGGCTGTCCCCTTTCACGCGGAACAGAGAGAGAGAGTGTGGGAACGACGGAGAGCGCAGCGGCGGCGAAAGGAAAGAGATAAACACCCCGAAAAAAAGGTGGGGAAAATTGTTTTTTGCGGCCGCGGAGTTTTTTCGACGCCCCGAAAATGGAGAGGTTCGGCCGAAAGTTGGGAGGGTTTCGGGGGAAATAAAAGGACTAATCGACTGTCGAAGGTAATAAAATGCAATAAAAAGGTCAAAAGTCTACAGAAAGAGAGAAAAAATGAATTTGGGCAAGAAATAGAACTTCTAAAGAGCAATTGATCAACATACGACACAAGATATTGATGAAACTTTTTCATCGTTTTTTCACGGCCGCGGAGTTTTTTCATCGCTAAAAATAGAGGTTCAGCCGAAAATTGGGTGAAATTATGAGAAAGTAAAATAAAACCAATAGACTGTCTGGGGCTATAAAATATATAACGAAAAGGTGAAAAAAATCTCTATGGAAAAGAAGAATTGGATTTTGGGCAAGAACTAAGACTTCTAAAAAGCAAATTATCAAAATACGACATCAGATATTGATGAAACTTTAGACAATTTACAGTGACGGACCTGGCAAAAAACGTAACATTTTGCATCCGGAAAGCATCAAAGATGTGGCAAAATGCTTCCCTCTCCAAGTGAAAAAACATCGTTTTGAAGGGTACCCTCACAAAAAGAGCGGAGTTTTTTTCACATGGAGAGGGAAGCATTTCGCGACATTTTTGATACTTCCCGGATGCAAAATGGTACGTTTTTTGCCACTGAATCAGGTCCACTGTAAGAGTAGAATTTTTTAAGACATGTCCGACATATTTTTTTCTCCCGCTTTGCAGAAATCATCGAAATTTTTAAGCCGAAAAAGTTTCGATTTTGCAAAACTTTCGACTTAAAAATCTTGATAGCTTCTGCAAAACGCGAGAAAAAAATTTCGGAAATGTCCTAGAAAGTTCTACTCTTGATTTGCCTCAAGTTCCGTGAATATCTGATGCCGTATTTTGATTACTTGCCCTTTAGAAATTCTATTTCTTGCCCAAAATTCAATTATTCTTTTTTATAGAGCCTTTTTTGACCTTTTCGTAATATTTTAGATCCCCAGACAGCCTATTTGTTATTTTACTTCCTCATAAGTTCATCCAATTTTCGGCTGAACCTCTATTTTTAGCGGCGAAAAACTTCGCGGCCGCAAAAAAAAACACAATGCAAGAAATTTTATAGAATTTCATTCCGCAAAGTTTCGAAAAAGTCCACTGGGCAAAACTAGACATGGCTACGGGCCGGGCCGACCAATTTTGCGGCCCGGCTTCGGGCTTTGATTTTCCGGCTAAACTAAAAATTACGAAGTAAAAAGCTTGCTTTATGGTCTCTTATGACCGTTGCAAGTAACAGAACTTGACTATAGACTTGAACCTATGATTTTTATCACTTATATTACACTTGATACTTTGTGTACAGTGGGGGACCAGTGGCAAAAAACGTACCATTTTGCATTCGGAAAGTATCAAAAATGTGGCAAAATGCTTCCCTCTCCAAGTGAAAAAACTTCGTTTTGAAGGGCGCGCTTTTGAAATTGGAGTTTTTTTCCCCACTGTAGCTACTGCTGTAGAATGGCAGAATTAACAAAATCACCCGAAAATGATACAGAACTACTGAAAACATTACTGTAATTTACAGTACTACTTAAGACAAACAAGTAAAAATTAGAAAAAATGGATCGGATTTTCTAAGCCATCACGGTCGAGTAATCATAATCACCCCCTAGATCTCACTTAGCTTGGAAAAATATTTTTTTGCAGACCTTTTTGTACCCAACGTTCTCACTTATGCATTGTCAAAACTGCATAAATGTGAAGAATTATAATAAAAGGCGTATCCCAGGCGGAAAAGAAGGCAAACAAACCGTCTACAGTCACGAAGAAACACAAACTTCATAACATTAAAACAGAAAAAGTGTTTTGTATTTTAGAAATTAAAGCTCGAAAATGATCAAAAGAACTGATAAAGAATTATCACATTCTCCTATACGTCGTATTTTACATAAAAATTTTAGAGTTGAATAGAATTTTCGTGGTGCACCAAAAACCGAAGGAATTTTAATCCATGCGTCAATTACTTGCGAAAGACGTAAACAGGATTTGGACTTTAATTATTTTCACTTTAATTATACGTTCCCAAACCAAAGCCCGCAGTCGCTCGCGGCCGTAGAGTGGCCGGGATTTGCGTCAATGAAGGTATTATTTGGGGGATGGGGACAGAAGATACAATAACGTAGAAACATGAAAAAATAAATAAATAAGAAAAACTACTGTAGAAAATCGCAAGGTACCAAAAAAAATTTTTTTTATTGTTGGAGGGAAAAAAGGAATTGCAAACAAAAAATTGCAAAATTTATGCAAATTTTTCAAATTTTTTTTTTTTTATTTTTGGGCGAATCTTCAAAAAAAATTAAAATTTTGCAAGTTATGCAAATTTTTCAAACATTTTTTCATTGGAGGAACGTCCCAAAATTATTCAAAATTTTGCAAATTATGCAAATTTTTTTCGAAATATCTTTTTTTTGCACGTTCCTTCTCATTCATCACATTGTCCTCCTCATTGTACGCGGTCGCATTTCCCGCTTCGAAAGTTGGCCGATGACTCCCTCAACGCAGCGGAAAATCGCGATTGCCTCGGGCGTTGTCGGCGTACTCGTCCTATTCTTGGCGATTTGGCAACGGAAACGGCTTCACGAACAGGTAAAGACTCTTTTTGAAATTTCTCCAGCGATTTTTTGGAGGGAAATTGTTGACTTTTTAGCTCCAACGGCGAAGAACGAGTTGGTTTGGCAAAACGTTGCAATGGCTTTGTCCGGCGGCCACAGGTTATCGATTGGTAAGTTGTTCAGGTCGGATTATTATTTGATGTTCCCTTATTGAGTCAACTTTTGAATGAAATTTCGAATTCATATCTTCCCGCGTTTTTTTGGCATTGTGTTTCAGGTGGAAATATAAGTTTTTTATTCTTAGAATACTGGACATCAGTTTCATAGGGATTTTTCAGATCTTGGCACTGTAAAATTTCAAATTTTTTATTTTCCGGCCACTTATTGGCGTTGTGTTTCAAGTTCTGTTATTAGTACAAAAGATGGAAAATTTACCATAAGATGTCCCAGAATGTCTTACTTTTTGCTTTGTGATCCTTTTTGGACTTTTGAGACTCAAATTTTGTTTTTTGAACCACTGAAACGGAATGCCAAAGATGGCGGGAAAATCGAAATTTGATTTTTTTTTACTTGAAATGGCCAGTTTTTTTGATTTTACGGGGTTGTATAAATTTTCAGGACGGTGAACACGGCGCGACTACATCAATGCGTATGAATTTGAGTACCGAGCAAGAGTCGACCACCAGATCCCATTCTCCGCCGAACTCCACGTTTCATGACTCTTCTTCTACGAATATCACCACTCCCAAAAGTGAAAAGAATGTTGCTCCGGATGAAACTGCAAAGCCCCGTGAGGCTGGAAATATGCCAGCTACAGAAAGTAGCGAAATCAAGACATCTGAAAGTTCAGCGAGTCTGGGAAGTTCAACTGCTAGTGTCTCGGGTAAGGATAATATAAAAGGTCAATTCTCGAAGACCGATCGTCGGATTTTTGTCAAATTTGGCAGATGTGGTGTGGATACATCGTGTTTTAATTCCTGAAATTTTAAGCTTCTATCTTGCAAGGACGGTTGAGATATTCAACGATCTTTGCGGACGAGAGGGTTAAAACTGTCTTGTCTGCAAAGATTGTTGAATATCTCCACTGTTAATGCAAGATGCAGGCTAAAAATTTCAGGAATTAAAACAGGACGCATCCATATCATTTTTGCCAAATTTGATAAAAATCCAACGCTTGATTTTCGAGAACTAACGATTTGTATTACGCATCTGGGAGGGCTGTGAAATGAAACTCTAAAAATCAATGATTTTTAGAACCTACCGTCTCTGGCTCAACTGCAACTCCGGGAGAACCTATCACCGGTGCTGGCCCAACTGCAACTCCGGGAGAACCTACCACCGCCTCTGCCTCAACTGCTAATCCGGGAGAACCTACCACCGGCTCTGGCCCAACTGCAGCTCCTGGAGAACCGGCGACCGGCTCTGCCTCAACTGCGGCTCCGCCAGAACCTACCGCCGGCTCTGGCTTATCTGCAACTCCCGGAGAACCTGCCACCGGCTCTGGTTCAACTGCAACTCCGGGAGAACCTACCACCGGCTCTTTCTCAACTGGAACTCCGGGATTTGCAACTTCAACCGGGTCGGAACTCAGCGCGAATGACACCCTTTCCAATCCTGAAAATACTCAGTCTGCTCGAAGCCCAGGGGCCTCATCACTTAGGTTAAAAGCCAGACGACCCGAAAGCTCAACCGATGAATTGACCGGCGATTCGGATGTTTTGGTGAGATTTAAGGACTGGATTTGATTGAATTTGTCGTTTATATTATACCAGAGACCTCTATGTTTCATTTCTCTGCTTTTTCCGGCCATTTTCGGCGAAGTGACATTTTATACGATGAAAGATGTTTGGCTTAAAATTGAATTTTTATGCCCGAAATTTGAATTCATAAGATGCATTAGACGAAAACGGTTCTATTTTTAATAAATTAACTATTTGGAGACCGATTTTTTTTGCGGTTTGAAATTTTTCAATTTTGTTTGACAAAAAATATTTTTAGGAGCGACACGAGATGTGTGATTGTCAAGCGGTCCGTGATCTTCCCGAAATCGAAGACTTCGAAGCGGTTTTCGAGGATGGTTTGGTTCCCGATGTGCGCCCTACCTATGTCCTCCCCGTCCAATTCAGCCCATATCGCCCCCTGAACCTGACCGAACCCGATGAGGAGGAGATGAAACAAGATCTAAGCCCTGCAGCCATCACTTTGGGCAAGAAATCGCACAGCAAAACCAACTTGTTGACCCCGTTCCGCGCTATATTACACTGCATCGTCTATGCCTCGAAACACGGATATTTGATCAAGGAACTGGCGGATAACTATAGTTATCTCGAGACGAGTTAGAGAGCAACATTTGAGAGGAGTTTCAATCTGTTTGATGAGTGATCTGGCGGGATATTGGAGATTTCTTATATTATACTAGGTTATTTTGATGGGTTTGCCCGATAAATCCAATTTTTTGGAAATTAATGGTGGTGAATTTTGCAAATTATGAATGATTGAGGTAACTGGCATAATATGGCATTCATTTTCCCCGAGATTACGGTAATTTCGGCACCTGAAACAGAACGCCAGAAATGGCGGGAAATTTGAATTTTTGAATTTAAAAGTAGCGATTTTAGGACGGAAATTTTCCTATGACCAGTATAGAAAGCAGTGATCAAATTTCAGCATAAAATACGTTGGTATTTATAAAAATAAATGTGTCATCATGACGGATTTTTTGGAACAAAATGCAAAAAAGCGATTATTATCAAGCGGAGAGTAAGCCCCCAAGCAAAAAAGGGTCTGATAAAAACATTCTTGATTTTTTTTTCATCGAGCTCTTGTCGCTTTTTTTTGTTCCAAACTTTTTGTTTTTACAAAAGTTTACTCTTCTTGTTTTCCCGCTCTTCGATTACACGGTTCGTATGAATCCAAATGGCGGAAGCCTTTTACCTCGAATTGATCTGTTTTGACTTGTTTATGCGATTAAACTCATAAAGTCGATCTTTTTTGAAATACTCAAATTTTTGTTAGGAATAAAATTAAATATGTCATCATGATGGATTTTTGGATTTTTTTAATTTTCACGGGGTTTAATTGTAATTTTTTTGTCATGCCTAGATGAGTCATGAATTTGATTTACGATGAAATTTTAATCGGATTTTGAATAATTAAATGTGTCATCTTGACCGATTTTTTGGAATTTATCGTCTACTTTCCCAGTATTTGAAAATCTCGGTGGTTCAAAACATAGTCGTATTTTAGGATGATAATCCGAGATTTCCTCTTATGTGGTTTCCTTTTCTCCCAATTTTCTCTCATTTCGTCCTCGGAATACCTGAGGGGATGCAGCTCTCATTGCACGATGACCGGAGGCGCTGGCTCCGAAGAATGCTGGTCAAAGACCTCCGACTACTTCCAAATTTCATTGCTGAGCCAATTACGGAACTTCGTCAACATTGAGGTGCGTTTTTAGAATGTTGGACGAAATGTCACTATTGATTTTTTCGAATTTTTAATTAAAATACGATGAATTTTGATATGGGTGCTCTTCCATGGAAAATTTCAGATAGGAATAGCTCAATGGAAGAGACAAAATGGCCAGGAGATGGATTGGGAGGCGGCTAGAGAGGATACGGTAGCTAAAATGGATGCAGAATTGCCTCCGGACATTGAAGATGAAGATGGCCTGACTGATCTGGATTTGTACAGCAAAGTCATTGGGGCACTCGTTAAGGCAGCTCATGTGAGTTTCAGAAACTATACGAGAGTTTTAAATTTTAGACGAAATGTCACTATTGATTTTTTTGAGATTTCAAATTTCGGGTTCAAATCGAATTTCTTGATTTCAGGAGCAGTTCGACAAAAATTCATCCCGTGAAACAATTGTTGAGTGCCCTCACGGCTGCGAAAAGTCGTCGGATTGGTTCTTTTGGCTCTTTTGCACATCAGCTATGTTCACGCTATTCCTGACCGGTGGAATTGGTTTCATGGTCTACATTCTGGACTATCAAAGCTGCGATTATGTGGACTTGGTCCAGGAGACACAAAAACAGAAAAAGAAAAAACAGGCGCAAGCTCCGAAATAGAAAATTATATTGTAGTAGAGAATAAATATATTTTTATGAAAAGCCGAGCTTTAAATTATAAAATTTACCTTTTAAAATTGATCATTTCGTATTTTACACCGTCAATAATCTGTCTCATCACTTTCTCCGCGATTCAACAGCGAGGAAAGTTTTTATCGTATAAAATGTCTCGCGCAAGCTGCGCCCGAGCTTTGCACGGTGCAAAAGAAAAAATTACCAAAATTGGCGCTTTCTGGAGTGTACATTGAATAAATCCTTTTCGATATAAACTTTCGAGAGTATCTTACAGTTCTCAGAAGTATTTTTGCTCGAAACCCCTGGTTTTTATATTACACTACACATCAGATCCTCTGGACAATCTCTAGTACAATGTCCGGAAAGAAACGCGTCTATCCGCTCTTCGAAAAGACTGATTCATCCTCGGAGAGCGTATCAAAACGCCCCAAGGGCGCTTCATTGACCATTTACTCCTGGAATGTGGCCTCCCTTCGGGCTGTGGTGAAGGTAAGGGAATTTGCAATTGTTTCTTCGATTTTTAGGTCTTTATGGACGCGGAAAGTATTGAATGTTCCTAGCATTGCTTTTTTGTTCAGTAAAATACGCTGTATAATTCAAATTCTTGAATTTTTGTTTCGATTGACCTCATGGATAATATAATGTCTAATACTTTGTTTGAAGTCTCGAATTTTGTGTAAATTTGGTGTCTAGAATAATCAGAAATTTCCTGTATCATGTTTTTAATCAACAAGGTCAAGCGTTCGACGTAAAATACGTAGGCTACAACCTCTGCAGCAGGAAGGTCCCATCATCAAGAAAATTTAAAATTTATAGTTGGTCCTTATATTATAACGGTCGGAAACACTTGCCTTACAGACAGCTTATGTCCTTTTGGAAGTTCTCCAATCATAATAAATAGTTGTTATTGTCATAACACTATTTTTTCATCAGTTTTCTATCTACCCTTCATGAGTAATATAATTTTCACTACAGCCTCCAAAAACGGGTGCAGAAACAATTGCCGGGTTTGATGCCGACATTGTGCTTCTCCAGGAGGTCAAATGCAACGAATTTCCACCCGAGATCATGCGACTGAAAGAGTATCCATACAAAAAAATTTATCCGTCCAAAGAAAAGAAGGGCGGCTATTCTGGAGTCGCGCTGCTGGCCAAAGAAGCCCCTTTAAAGCTGAATTTGGGGATCGGAGACAGTCGATTTGATGATCAAGGAAGACTTATTCACGCGGAATACGAGGATTTTCATTTTGTTGGAGTTTATGTCCCAAACTCTGGCCGGGGCTTGGTAAACTTGAAGATTCGACACGAATGGGAAGTGTTGCTAAAGGAAAAGTTGGTCGAATTGGACAAAGACAAGCCTGTTATCTATTGCGGAGATCTGAATGTTGCTCATGAAGAGATTGGTGAGTAATTTTATTTTTTTGTTTTGGTTTTAGGTATCATGGATAATATTGGGTGAAGCAGAAGTGTAGGACGGAGTATTCTGGGAGAATTTGGGTTTAAGAGCAAGGAAATTTTGCGTAGCAGCTAATGAGACTAATAACGGAGTGGATAAATTTGTGTTTCATAGAGTTTCGGGCAATTTTTAAACATTTACCAAGTATAATATAATGAAGTTGGAATAGAGGCTTAAGACCGGAATTTATGATTTTCCTAAGGTCTGATGGAGACTATTAAGTTGAAAGCAAAAGGTCGTGGTCTATTTTTGAGTGTTTTAGAAGATTTTTATATCATGGATAATATCGGAAATTGTCAATTTTTTGAAAATAGGTGGTTTAAGATTTTCTAAAAGGCTTTTGGATGTCTCAGAGAGGCCTTTAGGCTCTATTTTATAGATATTCTGAATGTTTTGGCATCTTTTTTTAAAATTTTTGGCATGGATAATATCCAAAATTTCCTAAAATATCTCAGTACCCTCAAAATCACTTCTATAGCTCACGTTTTCTTCAGATCTCAAGAATCCAAAGTCCAACTACAACAAAACCGCCGGGTTCACGGACCAGGAGCGAAATGATTTTACAGATCTGCTGGCTGCCGGATTTGTGGACGTCTTCAGAACCTTGAATCCTGATCTTGAAGGAGCCTACACTTACTGGTCCTACTTTGGAAACGCCCGTGCCAAGAATGTTGGCTGGAGATTGGATTATTTTGTGATCTCCCAACGCCTCATGGAGAATGTGGAAGATTGCAAAATTCACTCGGAAATCACCGGCTCCGATCATTGCCCGTTGTCCCTCACCATCAAGATCTAATGAAAATATTGTTTGACACTTATATTATACGAATGCATGGGTTTAAGATCTCTTTTTGGGTCTTTTTTGAATTTTGAGACCTAAAATAATGTAATTTTTTGTTTTTTCAAGGCGAAAACGTGTGAAATACTGGTAAATAAAATACTAACTGGGTAGAATATGATGTCTGGAGTTGTTTACAATTGGTTTTATTGCCATTGGATATTTGAATTTATTTGTGTGGCTAATTTTGTGACTTTGGTCTAGTGTAATATAATTTTTTGATTTTATTGACAAAAAAATTGTAAAATACGGGATTGTTTATGTTTTCCAATTGTAGAGCAGGCTATTCTGCATAGATGGTATATGATTTTATAGCGACTGAAGAGTTTGTTTTCTTTTTATGAGCAACTTTTGACTATTGACCTAGTATAATATAATTTTTTGATTTTATTGACAAAAAAATTGTAAAATACGGCGTTGCTCATATTTCCAAATTGTAGATCAGGCTTTTTTGTCTAGATGATGTATGATTTTGTAGCCATTAAAGGGTTGGTTTTATTTTTATGAGCAACTTTTTGACATTGACCTAGTACAATATAATTTTTGACTTTCATTGACAGAAAAATTGTAAAATACGGCACCTGTCATACTTTGAATCGTAGATCAGGCTATTATGCATAGATGATATATGATTTTATAGCCATTGAAGAGTTGGTTTTATTTTTATTAGCAGCTTTTGGAAATTCACCTACTACAATATAATTTTTGATTTTATTGACAGAAAACTTGTAAAATACGGCATGCTTATAATTTTAAATTGTATATCAGTCTATTCTTCGTAGATGATATATGATTTTATAGCCATTAAAGGGTTGGTTTTATTTTTATGAGCAACTTTTTGACATTGACCTAGTACAATATAATTTTTGACTTTCATTGACAGAAAAATTGTAAAATACAGCACCTGTCATACTTTGAATCGTAGATCAGGCTATTATGCATAGATGATATATGATTTTATAGCCATTGAAGAGCGTAGTGGACGTTTTTGTCCCCACCCCGGTTTTGTCCCCTAGACGGTTTTGTCCCCAGGGCGTTTTTGTCCCCACTTTTTTCGAGCCTTTTTGTCCCCAGACCGGTTTTGTCCCCAGGACGGTTTTGTCCCCAAGACGTTTTTGTCCCCACATTTTTTATTTTTTTGTCCCCACACCGGTTTTGTCCCCAGGACGTTTTTGTCCCCAAGCTGGATAGTGCGATTAAAAATTACGCATTCAAATGTTAATGCTGTTGGTTCGGTGCCCAGTACTGCTCAAACAACATGTTCTTAGCGCATGGTACTGTATAGTACGAGGTGGTACTATATAGCACGAGGTAAAAATTAAGCCATAACATGTCAATGCTATGGGTTTGAAGCCCAGTACTTCTCAAAAATGTGTTTTAGCACATGGTACTATATAGCACGAATTTGTTTTTGCACAAAATGAACGTTTGATCAGTACTGCATACCAAAACAACGTCATTCACGCGATATAGCTTAATTTCTACCTCGTGCTATATAGTACCACCTTGTACTATACAGTACCAAGCGCTACAAACACATTTTTTGAGAAGTGCGGGGCTTCAAACCAACAGCATCAACGCGTTATGGCTTAATTTTTACCTCGTGCTATATAGTACCACCTCGTACTATACAGTACCATGCGCTAAGAACATGTTGTTTGAGCAGTACTGGGCACCGAACCAACAGCATTAACATTTGAATGCATAATTTTTAATCGCACTATCCAGCTTGGGGACAAAAACGTCCTGGGGACAAAACCGGTGTGGGGACAAAAAAATAAAAAAAGTGGGGACAAAAACGTCTTGGGGACAAAACCGTCCTGGGGACAAAACCGGTCTGGGGACAAAAAGCCTCGGAAAAAGTGGGGACAAAAACGTCCTGGGGACAAAACCGTCTTGGGGACAAAACCGGGGTGGGGATAAAACCGGGCCCAATCATTGAAGAGTTGGTTTTATTTTTATTAGCAGCTTTTGGAAATTCACCTACTACAATATAATTTTTGATTTTATTGACAGAAAACTTGTAAAATACGGCATGCTTATAATTTTAAATTGTATATCAGTCTATTCTTCGTAGATGATATATGATTTTATAGCCATTGAAGAGTTGGTTTTATTTTTATTAGCAGCTTTTGGAAATTCACCTACTACAATATAATTTTTGATTTTTTTGGGCGATAATGTGGGACTTTTTTCTTGGAATTGAACTATCCACTATGTAAAATACGCTTTGTGATGTAAATCCATTACATTTTAAATCGATTTTGTCGTTGAAATTTATTTTACATAATTTTTTTCCATAATTAAAGACACCTTATATAATTTTAGATGCCGATCTCGCTGAGAGTGGTCGAGCCCGTCAACGTGAGCCTAGACCGACTTGGAGTGGAACGGACGAGAGATGAATTGCAATGTGTGGCCAATGGGACACTAGCGAATCTGGTTCGCCAACTCAGCAGCCTGAGTCAACATGGCGAACAGATCTTCACCGATATGCATGATGAGGTGGCCAAAGTCAACCAGAAGTTGGATGAGATCGCGATAAGAACCGCACGATTGAACGACAAGGTCCATCAGAATAATGGAGCGGTCCCGCAGTCGGGTAGGTCTAGTGTAATATAAAGTCTGTAGAATAAGGTGATTTTTGGTGGATAAAGTCTTGTGATTTGGTTAAGGATTAGTTTATCGGGCTTAGTGAAACATTTGAGATCATTTTGACTTTGAATGGGGAGAGATTTTAGGAGAAATATGGAAATTTTTTATGGAAATTAGAAGAAATGTGAGAAAAAATGGGAAATTGATCAAAATTGGTGATTCGTTTGGCGGGTATTTGGTCTGAAGTGCTTGATAGAGTTATTTGGCTAGTAATTTGGTATTAGATTAGAGAAAAATGTTTAAAATGACATCAAAAATTGATCAAGTGTAATATCGGAAATTTGATGGAAATGGATAAAATTAGTATTTAGGGTTGAGAATAAGGAATGTAAACGGCAGTTGATGTTATATTAAGACTCCAGGACCATTTATTTTGTCAAAAAAATCAAAATTTTGTCATGGGTAATGTCTAGAAAAAGCAAAATTTAGATGTAAATTCAAGATGAAATAATGATTAGAAATGAAGAATTAGGTATTAAATTAATTTGCGAAGCCATTTTTATTAACTGGAAGTTTTTATTTTTTATGATTTTGCAATTTCTTATATTAATTTACCTTGTTTTAGGTCGACTGGCCGACAACAACCTCCGAAAACCCTACCGCTCCCAGAACATCATCGACCAGCACACCCTCAGCCGACAGACCATGCCGCGCGCCATGGTCGAGCTCTACGACCGCTGCGATCCGCCGCCGGCACTCGATTTGTTCGACGAATTCCGCCGCGACGAGAAGCCCGCCCTCAAATACTACACCGATCCGGGATACTTTTTCGAACTCTGGAAGCAGGAGATCCTCAAGGAATGCGGAATCGACCGCAAAATCCACAAAAATCGACCACAGGTGCAGCGGCCCAAGAGAGTCGAAGAGAATAAAAGGGTTGTTCATAATGCAAGGACTCTTTTGAACCACTATTCGGACGCTCAGACATTGGGTTACAATCAAGCACACAATTTGATCCAGTTCCCAACGGAATATCAGGTAAAATACGGGCATATTTTTGTTTTATTTTTGGTGGTTTGAGTTTTTTAAGGGAAAATTTGGAAGGTCCAGAAAATTCGTCATGATGACGCATTTTTTCGAATGAGATTTTTTGAAATTATGAGTAGAAATGAGATTTTTAGAAGATTTGGAGGGGTATTCCAGGAATTTCCAGAAAATTCGTCATCATGACACATTTTTATGAAATAAATTTTTTGAAATTATGGGTAGGAATGAGATTTTTAGAACATTTCGAGGGTTTTTCAGAAATTTCCAAAAAATGTGTCATCATGACACAATTTTAAAGTGAGATTTTTCGACCAAAAAATTGTTTTATAGACAAGTTGGAGGTTTGGATTTTAGGGAAAAATTTCTTAGAAAGTTTTTTGATGCAGATTTGAATGGATTTTTAACATTTTTTTTTTCTTCAGGCCCCTCAAATCAACCGCCAGCCAATCCACCAGCCCCCACCTTGCATGGTCCGTCCCCAACTGATCCGCCCCACCCAGCCAGCACCTCCCCTCCCCGACCAATTCGACGACGATCCCCTGCCCCCACCGCCAATGCCGTCGGCGCATCGACCGGTCGATAATATTCATCAAAATTTGGAGGAGATCAACCAACGAATGGCCCAAATCCCCTCGGGCAATGGCGCCGGCATCAACGCAGATATGCCCAACATCGACGATGACGAGCTCCCCCCACCCCCTCCAATGCTGTCCACCATCGCCGCCACCACCATGCAATACCTGCCTCCGCAGGCCGCGCCCACACAAGCACCGCCAGCCCCTCCGCCACCGCCGCCGCCCGCCATGATGGAGTCGATTGTGATCCAGCAGAGCTCGTTTGCGGTTCAGCTCGTCTCCGAGCCCAGTCAGGAGGTCTTGGCCAACGAAGAGCCCGATCAATCGGGCCAAGAGAACAGCCGCTCCAACCTACTCGACGAAATCAAGGCCGGATACAAGCTGAGGAAAGTGGAACGTCAGGAAGAGAACGAAAAAGCCAAAGCCGCCGTGGAAGCGAACGACGTGGCCGCGATCCTGCGCCGCCGAATGGAACACGTATTGGGAAACGAGGACTCGGACGAGAACCAAGAATCCGATGGATCCGAATGGGACGCCTAGATCCCGAAGCCAACACGGACAGCATCATGTGGCAAAAAAACGCATCCAAATCCATCCTGGACACAATAAATTGCATCCCATTGTTTCTATGGCCAAAAATAGCGTTTCGTCACAAAGAAACCGCTGCTTTTGGTCAGAGAAGGGATGTAATTTATTGTGTCCAGGATGCATTTGGATACGCTTTTGCCACATGAGTCTGTCTGTACAATGATATTGGAGCTAGTCGAGCGATTTTTAACATTTTTTTGAAATTTTTGATTTTTTTTATTTTTTGTTGGTTTAGACGACATCGTTTTTAAAGCGATCTGAGGCCCCTTAGGGGTTTAAAGCCTCCATTCGTCGATAGCCAACATTTCTCGCCTCTTTTTTTTATTGGTTTTCTACACTTGATTTTTCAGATTTTTTCTCCCAAAACTTGGGGTTTAGAAAAATTCGGGAAAATCCGGTATCGTGTAATGTTTAATTTCGAAGTAATTGGTTGCTAAAATGAGTTGTAACACTAGGTATTGTGAGGTGGAAAAACAATCGAAATTTTGATTCTTTCATGAAAAACATGGCGGGTTTTTTGGGAATTTTCCAAAAATTTCGCCATGATCACTGATTCAAAGGCAGTTTTTGAGCGAACACTTTGTTACAAATAGATTTTACAAGGAAAGTACTTCTATGGGGTGTGGAATTACCGGTCAAGATATATATCAAAAAATTTGCAAAAATTTTCTGATTCAGAATATATAAAAATTAGCTGCCTAATTTTGGTCTATTAACAAGTTTTTTCAATAAATGTTTTTCTCGAGGAAAAAAATCTGCGGCAACAAAAGCGCGCTCGGTCTCTTCCTTCGGAAGAGAGCGGTGTGGCCGAGTGGTTAGAGCGCTAGATTGGGAATCCGAAGGGGACGGGTTCGATTCCTTTTGCCACACTAGCACCCATTTTTTACATTGGAACTACTTTTAAGGTGTAGTTGTAATCCAATTTGATATTTTAAGGCTTGTCAAGGCCTCAAAATTTATTTTAGCACAAAACAAAATTTTTTTATTGGTAAAAACACGGTCAAAAAGACACTTGCATTGTGTCGCGAGAAAACTTCTGAGGACAAAAACATGTCATCAGACCAAAATTAGGCAGCTAATTTATATATATTCTGAATCAGAAAATTTTTGCGAATTTTTTGATATATATCTCGACCGGTAATTCCACACCCCATAGAAGTACTTTCCTTGTTAGAAATAAATCTATTTGTAACATAGTTTTCGCACAAAAACAGCCTTTGAATTAGTCAGTTACAACTCATTTTGCAATAGCAATTACAAGTTTTTTTTTCAAAAAGTACCACGGTGCCGGATTTTTTCGAATTTTGTCGAAAACTTGAAGTTTTGGCGAAAAGGTCAAGTTTTTCTTGCCGCTTATGTAATTTTATTGCTCACATAGCCTTAAATTGTACTTATCCGTATTTATCTCAAGTCTTTTGTATCAATAATTTTATTATATTACACTTGATGATTAATAATAAAAGTCTTGCCCAGAAGTGTTGTGGACTATATATGGCACTCAAATGAGGATAGAAATGTAAATTGAAATAGAAATTTGGCTATAACGGGAGAATTTGCTAAAAATTTTAAAGTAGGTTTTTTTGCCTAGTGTAACATAATTGATGTCCCAAATGTGGACTAGTTTTGATACTAGTATACAACTTATGCTACTAATAGTATAAAAGAGCCTTTAGTTACTTGAAGACAAAAAAATCGAACTTTTCACGAAAATTTTTGGACCTTATATTACACTACCTAAAGTAATGTCAAAAATCTCAAAAACTGACGTTTTCACCCCAAATTTTTGTGTAAAAAATGTATAAAATACAATCCCAAGCCTTTAGACAACAAGATGATTCGATATTTAACAAAAAAATTCTTGGGTTAATTTTGAATTTTTCCAAAGGTGTTAGTTGATTGAATTTTTTTGATCTCAAAAAATTTTTTTCTTCTCAAATTTGATGTGTACTGGTCCTAGAAAGCAATTAAAGTTAATTTTACACCTCCTTACCCCAAAAAAAAGTTGGCAAAAACGGGATTTTTTGAGAATTCCGGACCTTATTTTAGATGGTCTAACATAAGGTGCAAAAAAAGTTTAAAAAATCCGTTTCTGATGGTGCCTTTGGTTACACGCAACACTATAGGCCACGTGTGTCACAAAACTAGTCTTTAGCTACTTTAGATCACCCAAAAAAATCAAAAAAATTCATTTCCTAACTAATAATTCACAGAGCGCTGAATGGCTTCGACGACTCGCCATTTGGTCGGCAAATAGACCGGTTCGAAGATGTGTGGGAATGGGGTGTCCCATCCGCAAACTCGTTCGATTGGGGACTCCAAATTCAAGAAGCATTCCTTTTGAATCGTCGACGCGATTTCCGCGGCGAATCCCGAAGTGAGTGGGGCTTCGTGGGAGACGAGGAGGCGGCCAGTCTTTACCACGCTCTGAAAATAGCAGGTTTAAAGTTGGAAAAGCTCAATAAAAATTTTGAAAGAAAGTCATCAAACATCGTATTTTACAATAAAGCTCTAGAAAATCCGTCATGATGACATGTTTTTTGAAAGTGATTTTTTGAAATTATGAATAGAAATTCGATTTTTAGTAGATTTGGACGGTTTTCAGGCCTTCCCAAAAAATGTGTCATCATGACACAATTCTAAAGTGGGATTTTTTGACAAAAAATTTGTTTCGGAGACAAGTTGGAGGTTGTTGTTTTAGGGAAAAATTCTTACAGTTTTTTGATACAGATTTGATTTGTTTTTTACACTTCAGCCCTAAAAGTTTTAGGGATCCCAGACAACCTTTTATTAAAATTACAGCGGGGGACCGGATCCAGTGGCAAAAAACGTACCATTTTGCATTCGGGAAATGTCAAAAAATGTGGCAAAATACCCTCTCCAAGTGAAAAAACTCCGATTTCAAAAGCCGCTCTTTTTGTGAGGAAAAGGGCGCCTTCAAAACGGGGTTTTTTCATTTGGAGAGGGATGTATTTTGCCACATTTTTTGATGCTTCCCGGATGCAAAATGGTACGTTTTTTGCGACTGGAGCAAGTCAGTCACTGTAATATTAATAAAAAAATTGTCTGGATCCCCAAAATTTTTAGGCCCGAAGTGTAAAAACAAATCAAATCTGTATCAAAAAAACTGTGTAAGAATTTTTCCCTAAAACAACAACCTCCAACTTGTCTCCGAAACAATTTTTTTTGTCAAAAAATCCCACTTTAGAATTGTGTCATGATGACGCATTTTTTGGAAATTCCTGAACACCCTCCAAATCTTCTAAAAATCTCGTTTCTATTCGTAATTTCAAAAAATATGTCATCATGCAAAACGGTACGTTTTTTGCCACTTGATCAGGTCCGTCAGAGTAATAATAGTCATCTTCTCCTGAACAAAAGTTTCCGGACCGCATATAAAAAAAAATTTTTCGTGGAAATTGGCTGAAAATAACTCTAAACAGCTCTATTTCTCATTTTCAAGCTTTCAGACGACAAAATCTTGCCAAAAAACCGTTCTTTTTAGCGCCTCAACCAAAACTTTGGCCTAAAACAATATAATTTTTTCGAAAACCAAAAAATTTTTTGATTCTAAACCTTTCACTAGCTCAAATAATTCCCAAAAAACCCAGTTCTTACCTTCGCGACCGTTTCCACATCCCACGGCAAGATGCTTTGCAGGTCGATCACCTCGCAAGAGATGCCCATTTGAGACTCCGCAATTTCGGCCGCCTCTAATACAACATGCAGTTGAGTGCCCCAGGAAACAAGCGAAACGTCGCTACCATTCCTCAACACCTCTGCTTTGCCAATTTCGATTGTATATGGGGCTTTTGGAACCTCTTCGACGGCATTCCTATACAGGACCTTTGGCTCGAAAAAGATGCATGGATTGGGGTCTTGAATGCAAGATAACAGAAGTCCTTTGGCTTGAATAGGACCTCTGGGGACTACTATCTGCAAAACAAACTTATTTCTCGACATCAAGCCATTTTTTAACCTAAAATTCAACAAAATTTATATTACACTTGCCTTCAATCCCGGCGTATGGCTGAAATAGGCCTCTGGAGACTGTGAATGGTAGAGTGCGCCATGCCCAACAGCTCCCCATGTTGTTCGGACTGTCAAACCACCACAGTTGAACAGATTTCCACTTCTGTAGCGGTATTTTGCGGCTTCGTTTACGAGCTGATCAAAGGCCGGGAAAATGTAATCCCCGAATTGAATCTCGGCGATTGATGTGGCTCCCGAGACGGCCAGCCCTATTCCGAATCCAGCAATTCCTTGTTCGCAGAGCGGAGTGTTGAAACATCGATCCTTTCCGAACTTGTCGGCTAGTCCAACAGTGCATCGAAAGACTCCTCCAAACGCGACATCCTCACCAAAAACGCAGGCGGTTTTATCGGCCTCGAGGGCTTGATGAAGTGATGTGTTGATGGCTTGACATAGATTCAGCTTTTCGGTCTCTCCTGAAGAGAAAAATTAAATTTATATTAATTTAGGTACCTCAACTAAAATAAGGTCGACCTTAGAGAAAATCGAAAATAAATGCCACGAAAGTTTTTTCATAACCTGTGTCAGGTCATATTCAACCTATTTAGAACCAAACATCAAAGACCAACTGTCATTTTCCCTAAAAACCAAAGCAATATTGTTTTAGACACCCACCTAAACTTGGATCGGCCGAGAATCCCTGGAATTTGAAGTGAGATGAAAATCGAACCGCTTGATGTCCTCGGCTTTTGCTCAGCAACCTCAGCATCAACATTCCTCACCTGAAACACAAATTATATTACACATTATACACATTATATTATCCATGAGCAATGAAGGCTCAGACCACGTGGAAAGGCCGCAAAAAGAGACAGCAAACAAATTAAAAAGTTGAACCCGACCCTAGGGCATCTTTTCAATTCATTTCAAAAAAAGAATTCGTCACAAAAAGCCGAGTTTTCACCCGTTTTTATGTTGTACTAGGTGAAAGTCGAGATGAAAAAACACTTAAAAATCAGAATGGCGGCGGTGAAATTTTTCTGTGGAAAGCTTATCACCGATCTATCAATCTTATGCTGTAAAAATGCGGCTTCCAAAAGAAGAAATTCGATCCTTTTCTTGGTGTTTTAGGGGGAGTAGATATTGGGCACAAAAAAACTTCAAAAATTGTCTCAAAGCAGCCGAAAAACATCGCAAAAAGTTCGTAAAATTCTTGTCGATTCTTGTGATAACCTGCAAAATTCTGCAAAATCCATTTGAGATCACTTTTCTGGTCTTTTTAGAAAAAAACGTCAAATTTTATGCATTTCGTGAAGGAATTTAGGGAGGAAAAACGTGAATGAATAAAAATGACGGTTTTGATTAAAAAAAGTAAGCTGATAAAACGGAAATTTTAATAAAGAAGGCCAATGAGTCTCTACAGAGAGAAAAGACGAAGAAATCCAGCTAAAAATCTACATCAACTTCATCTTTGATACCTATTATAAGATGGTCAACTAAAACAATATAAAAACGGGCTTTGTTATAGCTGAAACTCAGTCTAATCTCTTCAACAGGACTTCAGATTACTTGCCAGCCACGGAATTCTCAAAAATAACGGTAAATCCCAAAAAGTGACATTTTATACGATGAAACCTTTCGGGCTCTAAAATACGGCGATTTCGTAAAATTTGATTCCAAAATCAAAGTCAACAATCATTGTCATGACAAACGATAAATTCCATGACAAATAATCGACAATTTTCCCAAGAAATTTACATAAATTGCGAAAAAATTTGAAATATTTCAAAAAGTCTTGCAAAAATTACAGTAATCTCCATTCCACAAGTCTGATTCCTCAAATTATATAGTTTAAAAAACTCGTTAGGACACCAAAGCTTCATATTCTACAACAATTATGTTTATTGGCTAAAACTTTTCTAAAAATTTTACGATAATTACTTGGTAACATTAGGATAATATAGGAAATATGGCATATAACAATTGTCTAAATTATGATGCGCGTAACGTTAGAATGATAGTTAGGGTGGAAAGAATGTACAGGACTCGTATTTCACTAGAATTTGACGACTTCGTCCGTGGGGAAACCGGAGAAAAGGGCCGATTTTTGGACGGCGGGCGCGAATCGCACCGTTTGCGGGGAGGATATCCGATTCGTGGGGGATGGAGGGACGACGGGGAGGTTCTGTCTGAAATTTACAATAAATATCAAGGGTAAATTCAGGGAAATTCGGGCAAAACTGCCCAAAAATTATATCATATTATCCATGACAAAAAAGGTAAACTTTTCGTAAAAAATTTAATTTTTCCGTATTTAGCGATGTTAAATGCAATGAAAAACATCGTCATAGACCTTTCAAAGTCCATTTCAATCAATTCCCATCCAATTTATCCTGGAAAATTCGAAAAAAAAAATTCCCGCCAATTTTGGCATTCTGTTGCAAACACTACAAGACTTTCAGAACCTCTCTAAAATTTACTGAGACGCTTTATAATGCAAGTTTCTATCATAATCTCACTCATTTCCAACATTTATGATCCATTTTTTGTCGATATTATCCATGACAAATTTGACCAAAAGTAATATCCCAGAACCCAAATTCATCGTTTTTTTCTTCCTAAATAGATCTATTAGGACATAACTAGTACTTTAATACCTTTTTTCGGACCGCCTATTGCAAAATGACGTATTTTAAAAATCAATTTTCCATCCAATCCACCTAAAGTAATATAACCTCCCACAAATCCCTCCCAAACCATTTTCTCACCTCGCTTTGGGTTTCGGTGGAACTGATGGAGCCTTGTCCACATTATTTCCATTCTCATAGTCTAGACATCTCCTCTGATCCACCGAAATTGGGACTTCCATTTCGGGGGATTCCTTTTGAACTGGATGTTGAGCTGATCCCACGAGGGTGTTGTTGATGTACTGACAAGGCGTTCGACCGTTCTTTGGTGGCAATGGCGGGGCTGCGTGCTCGAAGTCATCGATTTCGGCGGTGTTTCCGTAGATTGCGGGTTGGGTTCGGATTACGGTAGATTCGGTGTCAGCGGATGAGGAGCGCTGGAAAAAATTGGCCGTAAAATTGAGTGTACAGATTGTATTAGACACTTTAGGACATATATAACATCATAATTTTATTTTTTCACCATCTGGAGGCCTCTCCGGCTTCTAAAACAGAATGCCAAAAATGCCGGGAAAACTGAATTTTTGAATTTTTCTTTTGACAAAAGTCCTAAATTCAATCTAAATATGTGTTATGAATTATCACCAACTACTTTTCTACACATTTTTCACCATCTCCAGCCTTCTAAAGCCCTTGAAACACAATGCCAAAATTTGGCGGGAAACTTAAAATTCAAAATTTTTTCTTGCCTATCTCCCCAAAATACCTTTCCATAGCAAAAAATGATGTCAAAACCATCTACAATCTTTTCAAACACCATAAATTTCAAAAAATATGACCTTATCTTACCTCACTTCTATCCAACCTCGGCGAAGTTGCGCCTGGAAGCGGGGAAGTCCGTTTCAAGACATCTCCACACTCCACCAACAATTTATAGGCCTGTTGGGCTTCGTTAGTCCACTCTTCCTTCTTTTCCTCACTCGATTCCGTATCGTAACTCTTGGATTTTTGGAATTTTTGCGAGTTCTGCAGTTCCTTGGCCAAATCTCGCGCCGCTTTTTTGTGTTCGCTGTCAATTCTCTTCAGTAATTTCGAGCGTTCCGAGTCTTTCAGCGGGCGGACAACCGACTCCTGAGGTTCGACATTTATTTCTGGACGAGAGGGTTTTGGCGGTGGGGGGAGGAGGGGCCGAGTGTCGCTGTAATCGCCGATGGTCGAGATCGAGAAGTCGGTAATGTCTTTCTGAAGATGGCAGAGGACTTCATCCAGGCTTTCGTTGAACGAATTCGATTCTGGGATGATTCTGAAAACAAAATATTCGAAAATTGTCGAAAAACAACTCGATTTTTGCCATTTCAAAACTTCAGAAAACAAATCACTAATACCGTATTTTGCAATAAAATTCCAGAAAATCCGTCATGACGACATATTTTTTTGAAAGTGATTTTTTGAAATTATGAATAGAAATGAGATTTTTAGAAGATTTGAAGGATTTTCAGGAATTTCCAAAAAATGTGTCATCATGACACAATTTTAAAGCGGGATTTTTGGTAAAAAATGTGATTCGGAGACAAGTTGGAGGTTGGTGTTTTAGGGAAAAATTATTACACAGTTTTTTTGATGCAGATTTGATTTGTTTTTTACACTTCAAGCCTAAAAATTTTGGGGATCTCACAATTGTCAGACAACTTTTTATTTCTATTACAGTGGCGGTCCTAATCTACTGGCAAAAGACGTACCATTTTGCATTCGTGAAGTATCAAAAATGTAGCAAAATACTTCCTTCTCCAACTAAAAAAACTCCGTTTTAAAAGCGAGACCTTCAAAATGGAGTTTTTTTAGTTGGAGAGGGAGGTATTTTGCCACATTTTTCGATACTTCCCGAATGCAAAATGGTGTGTTTTTTGCCAGTGGATTAGGCCCGCCACTGTATGTAAAAAATGTTTTTTTTGTAAAATACGAATTATCGAAATAGGGAATGATTTGAAATTCCTTATAGAGCAATTTCAAAGCATTCTCAAGCATTGTAAAACAAAAAAATATCTTTTTTTTCGACAGAAACCCCAATTTTTTATCGAAAAAACCCATTTTTATAAAAGATACGATCCAAAAAACTTGCCTTTTGATTATAAATTACAGAACAAACATCTTTTCTTTACAATCTACAACAAAAAAAAATGAAAAAATCCTATTTATTCCCCCCAAAAAATTAGTTTTTTTTCGCAAAAAATATGTTGTTCAAATACGCTACGCCCTCAAATAGACGAATTTCAAAAAAATATAACTATTCATTAAATTCAACCAAAGAATTTCCAAAAAAAATGCCGAAATCTTATCAAAAAATCTTTCCCCAAAATACCTCCTTTTTGCTCAAAAAATTAAATTTTATGGTAAAATACGGCTGTAACGAGGATTGAGATTTTCTGAAAAATCATTTAGAACCCATCTTTCACCCTATTCGACCCCAAAAATTGCAAAAAAATCCAAATTTTTTCCAAAAAAAATCCCATTTTCCCCAACTCACGCAGTTGCTCCGGAATGGTCAATAATAAAGTCCGATGAGGCGGTGATGCTTCTGGGCCTGGAATACTCAATATCATAGGTCGACTTTTCTTTTGGCAGGCTATTCGTCCGGATCGCCATGTGGGTTCTCTCGATTTCGGCCGTTTTTTGCGTCGGTTTTATGCGGGCCGCTGGTTTCGGGGGCAGCGCCGGAGGCGAAATCGATTCCTGATGGGGTTTTGGGAAGCGGAGAGGGATATCGTAGCCATTCCTCAGCAAGTTCTCGGCTCCATCGTCGTTTTGGCGGAGGCTCGAAGTGGTGGAGGAGGCGGCCGAAGGGGAAATCGAGGAAGTTGAGCTGTTATGCTGGGATGGGGCAAGTGAGGCGGTGTCGGAAAGACCGATCAGGGGTGATATTGTGGATGACAGGTCGTTTTTGTTCACCTGAAAGGAAAAAATCACAAAAATTTTCAGTTTTTTTGACCAAAAAATATCAAGTGTAATATAAAAATCTATGAAAATTTTAAATTTTGAACCTCATAAAAAATAAAAAACACTTCTAATATTCCGTTTCACACACTTTGAAAACCCAAAAATTACAAAAAATTGCAAAATTTTCCAAAACTCAAGTGTCAAGTATAACATAAAAATCGGTCCAAAACCCAAAACTTTTCACTCAAAATCAAGAAAACCCGCCTTTCAATTAAACTTCCCACCTTTTGACACCACAAACTTTCCAAAAATTTACTAAATTCCCATCAAAATTCAAAAAACCCCCAAATTTTTAAAACTCAAAATTTCACATCCCAAATGACCTAAACTTTCTTCACTAAAAACTTTTGTTTGTTCGTAGGATGGTCGGCTATTCTATTCTTTGCTCGTTGTTGTTGTTATTGCCTCAATCGTTTGGATTTGGGTATCAGGAAACCGAGATCTATGGGAAATTGACTTGTGGCGGAAAGGACCTTCGAGGTCAGAACTGGGTGGTAAGCTAACACTAACTAACACTAAGTTTCGTTCAAATCCGAGCTATTTCTTCCGCTATACAGTGGCGGACCTGATCCAGTGGCAAAAACGTACCATTTTGCATACGGGAAGTATCAAAAAACACAGTAAAATACCTCCCTTTCCAAGTGAAAAGACTCCGATTTCAAGAGTTCTGGGACGAAACTAGGAAGAGCTCTTGCAATCGGAGTCTTTTCACTTCGAGAGGGAGGTATTTTGCTGCGTTTTTGATACCTCCCGGAAGCAAAATGGTAAGTTTTTGCCACTGGATCAGGTCCGCCACTGTATATCAGAAAAAAGAGCTCAGATTCCAACGAAAATTGGTGCAATTTGTAGCCCGTATAAAATATTAAATTTTACACAAAACGTTTTGATTTTAAGGATACTCCAATTTTATTTCAGAAAATTTTTCTCCGAGAAGATGACGGCGATGGGAGATCCGACCTTTTGGACGAGGGATACGCCACTGTTAATGGGACGTATCATTTAAAAGGCGGTCAATTTGAATGGAACGGAATCGAACCGTACACAGTTATGTAAGCAGTTTATATCAGTTCAAAACGCCGTAAAATCCTTTCAGAATACTCTACCTTTTGTATCTTTCGTTATTCCGGAGCTAAAATTTAAATTTTGAATTTCCCGCCATTTTTGGCATTCCGTTTCAAGGACCGAAACCCATTACAAAATGCTTTAAAATTAATTACGAACTAGCCTGACGGTATTATCAACTCAAATCTTCACAGTTTTCTCCATTCCCCTTCATAAAATCAAACTTCCAATTTCCCGCCAATTTTTGGCATTCTGTTTCAAGGATATAAAATTATGTAAAACACAAAGCTGAATGCTAATTGACCCTTAATTAAGCTAAACAACGTCTTTATTGCCCATAAAAACCGTCAAAAATTTGAATTTCTGATTTCCCGCTATTTTGTGGCATTCCGTTTCAAGTGTTGGAAAAGCCCCAGAAATCATGAAAAAGATATCCTAGGTTCGCTAACAATTCAAATAAGGCGAATTCCACAATTTTTAGATCCTATAAATCTTTTACAAAACGTAAATATCTCTATTTTTTCATGAATAATATCAACTATTCCAGTGCCCACTCCTGCGGTGGAAAGTGTCGAATTTTGACCTTGCATGGCGTAAGTTGTGCCATTACCACCTAATTCTCATAATTTTTATTTCAGCCCAACCACAATCCCGGAAATATGGATCTCTTGAATAAAGGCGACGAAGCGCCAGCTAACAATGCCTGCCACGAGCAGAAATACTCGCAAGATATCACGGAAATGGTAACCCCGCCCTGGGTTCCCTGCAATAATTAATTTTGTTCGAAAAAAATATCATAAATCGAATCTTGAACAATTTTTTTTCACCGCACCGTGCAAAACATTTTTTTTGCACAGTGCAACGTTTCAAATCGGACGCACTGCGCAATTGTTGCGATCTTTTCGTTTTCTTTCGCTAGAGAAATTTTGTCGCTGATTTTGCACTGTGCAAATCTTCTCGACTTTCGTTCGCACCGTGAAAAATCCAAAAAAAAACTTCCCTTCGCACTGTGCAAAAATGCAATTCGTTCAGAAAGCCTTCACTCCGCACCGTGTAAATCTCGAAAATTTTACACTGCACCGTGCAAACCCCTAAAATTTCCTCTTCGCACCGTGCAGACTCAAAAATCTTCTCTTCGCACAGTGCAAATCGCTGAAAATTTTTCTGCGCACCGTGCAAGTCCCAGAAATGTCCTCTTCGCACTGTGCGAATCCTAAATTTTCCTCCCCGCACTGTGCAATTCCTGAAATTTCCTCTCCGCACCGTGCAGATTCACGAATCTTCCCTCCGCACTGCGCAAACCCTAAAATTTCCTCTCCGCACAGTGCAAAATTGAAATTCATTCAAAAAACGTTCCTTCCGCACTGTGCAGACTCATAAATTTTCCCTCCGCACTGTGCAAATCCAAAATTTTCTCTTCGCACCGTGCAAATTCCTAAAATCTTTCCTTCGCGCCGTGCAAACAGCTGAAATTTTCCCTCCGCACAGTGCAGACCCCTAAAACTTCCTTACCGCACTCTGCAAATTCTTCAAATGTTCCTTTCCGCACAGTGCAAAAGTGAAATTCATTCAAAAAACGTTCCCTCCGCACAGTGCAAACCTCCCCAACCTACAAAGATCCCCTCCAAATTCCCATTCAAACTCCTCCAAACCCCTCCAAACTTACATGAACCAATCCGAAGACGGATCCATCAATTCCAATGTGGCAAGTGTGCCTTAAATCGCCTTGCGGTTCGCTGATCAGCAATTTTTTCTTCTCCTTGTCCAGGGATTTTTGCGAATTTTTCCTTCCAATTATGGACAAACGCTCCGGTTTTTTGGCCGTATTCTGATACAATGGGAGTGGGGTTCCGATGAAGGTTTTCGGGGGGTTGGTGGGGTTCTCGGCGCCCAGATAGGCGACCGTTTCGGCGGGTTTGAAGAGGCCGCAGTTGCCTCGGCGGGTGGCGCCGTGCCAGAAGCTCTGGCCGGCGGGCTCGGGGCACTTGTCCAGCAGAATTATGATCTCTCCTTTGTCGAATTGGAGCTGAGTGGGCTCGTCGTTGTGGCACTCGGTCACCGAGACCAGGAGTTGAGGCATCAGGTCGGGGATTTCGCTGACAATCTGCTCGAAAGTGGGGCGGGAGGTGGGATCGTGGGACCAGCAGCGCTTCATCAGCTGATAGAACTCGGATGGGCAAAATTCGGGGCAATCCAGGGTCTTTCGTTGCGTATCGATGGTGTGTAATATCTGAAAATTGAAAAAAATTATTAAATCTCATTTACAAATCAAATCAAAATGCATCGAAATTATTTCCGTGGGACGTTCGACGTATTTTAAAACAATTATCATCAAGTCTTAGCCGAAAAAATAAAAAAAGAATTATTATGGATAATATAAAAACTGGCACAAATCTTTTCAAAACATATTCCAAATCAAAGAACACATCCTCTTTAAGACATTACTAAACAATTACCATGTATTTCAGGCAATAAACCGCTCATTTGGACCAAAAATTTTCATGGATAATATAACTTTTGCCCAAAAATCGCAAATTTTCTATCTAAAACAAAGTCAGAGTAACCCACAACTCTCAATAACGTATTTTCCACTTATCCCAATCTCCAAATCACCCATTCCGACCAAAATATTTTCATGGATAATATAATTTTTTTTTCAAAAAAATTGTCCAAACCCCCAAAAACTGATCTGCCAAAAGACAACATTCTTGCTAAAAATTCATTATAAGATCTCCAAAACAGCAATTAACATCAAATTCGTCGATTCTGAGATCAAAATTTTTATGGATAATATAATTTTTGCCCAAAAATCGCAAATTTTCTATCTAAAACATCCTCAGACTAACCCACAATTCTCATCAACGTATTTCCCACTTATCTCAATCTCCAATTCACCCATTCCGACCAAAATATTTTCATGGATAATATAAATTTTTCCCCAAAAAATCTCAAAAATCCCACCTGACTGCCCGAAAATCCCTTCCACGGGACTCTTCCATACGAGAACATTTCCCACAGGGTCACTCCGAAAGCGTACACATCACTGGCGGGGGTGAATTTCAGCAAGTTTATGGCTTCCGGGGGGCACCAGGCGATGGGTAGTTTCATGGTTGGTTGGAATTCGGATCGATAGTAGTCTTCGGTGATGCCCAAGCTTCTGCTAAGTCCAAAGTCGGAGACTTTTACTTGAGTGGGTGTGTGGACCAGGACATTTCGGGCGGCCAAATCGCGATGGATAACTTTTTTGGCGATCAAAAATTCCATGCCTCGGGCGATTTGGAGGGCAAAGTCGCAGAGGCGATCAACCGCGAATGGGTGTTCCCAGGCCGGTTTTCGGAGGCATTCGAGAAGGGAGCCGTACGGGGCGAGCTCCGAGATCAGCATGACCGCCTTGGTGTCGAGGACGATGCCGTACATTCGGACCAGGTTCTCGTGCTTCATCTTCGACATCACGGCCGCTTCTTGGATGAAACAGGTGGGGTTGGCTTTGAGTTTGTCGGGGAGGACGCGTTTTATCGCTACCTGAACAAAATGGAAATGTGAAATTCGAAAATAATTTGATGTAAAATACGAAATAGCTACTGTTTTAACAAGGTTAAAAAATTTTTTATGGGACCTCCAAACGCTATAAAACCAATTTATAAGCAAAAAACCTACAATATCTCAGAAATAAAACAAGTCATCATGACAGATTTTTTTGCAGATTTGATCAAAAAAGCGGATTTCGACTAGTAAATCGATTAAAAAAATTTTCCTCTCTATTTTCCAGACCTGCAAACCCTACTTTATCACAAAAAATCCCGACAACTCATAAAGTAAAGGTGTCACGATGACACATTTTTGGGAAATTTCAAAAAAATTGTGCAATTTTCAAAAATTAAAAACGAGAATTGTGCAAAACAAATGAAATTCGTCCCTCAAAGCTCCAAAATTTCAACTTTTTTTTATCTATCTAGTTCAATTTCGCAAAGGTGACATTTTATACGATAAAAAAATCAAAGGTAAAATACGATCGAGGCAATTCGTTTCAATAAAAACTATTCCCTGTACTTCATAACCAAAATAAAACCTTTTAATTTTCCATTCTAAACATTTTTTCACAGGTGACATTTTATACGAAAATTTTCAAAAATCTCATTTGCTCAAATTCCAGCCTCTTACCTGCACTGAATTTCCATCTGGTAGATTCCAAGTGCCCTGATAGCAGATTCCAAACTCTCCTCTTCCCAGTTCTCGGCATAGCTCGACAGCTTCAGGTGGTATGACATGTTGTTCGTCTTGGTCTAGGTAGCTGCTGGTGGTGGGTGTGGCCTCGGAATGCCGGGTATCCGACTTCCCAAACACTTTGCGGAGCTTCACGTACAACGAGGAGGACTGGGGGTTGTTGATGAGGCGGTTTTGTTCGCGGCGGAGGCGCTTCTGTTCGGGGCGCGACATGCCGACCTCGGCCAGGTCCTTTTCCTCGGTGTAGAGGAGGTCGCCGGCGTGGCGCAGCTTGAGCACGGTGCGGAGTTTGTCATGGTATCTGGAAATTGTCAAATCAGCGCGAAATTTATTCAAAATCCCAAGAAAATGAGATTTTTTTTATTGGCAGGCTGCGCCCTAGACTTTTGTCAGTATTCAGCCGTAGGCGCACTAAAACCACTTAGAAATCATCCATGTGGTCCTAATATGTCCTTCTAGGACCTATTGGCCCAAATTTTGGGGCAAAAATATTCGAAAAATTCAAATTCCCGCCATTTTTGGCATTCTGTTTCAAGCGGCGAAAGGTATCAAAATGACATTTTCAATCAAAACGCTGCATTGAGAAACCAATTTCATCCCAAACCGTCTCGTTTCAACCATTTTTGTTATATTATCCATGGCAAATTTGATAACAAATCATATCAAAAACCCATCCCAACTCAAAAAATTCTCCTCTAACAAACCTTCTAAGTGCTCTGCCAAGCCCTCGAAGCCGTTTGCCTCTTCGAATTTTCATTTTCAGTATTAATTTCTACTATTTTAGAGCAACAGCTACAGTATCCAAAGGCCAAAGACTGTGCAGAAATCGTGGGAATGACGCCAAACGGAGCCGAAAAGGATAAAGACGCTACGGGGATGGTCTTCGCCTCTTCCGGCGTTCCGTTACAACGCGAATTCACGCCGAAAACAAAGCGGGGCGATTGACGTCAATGGAGACGATTTTAGTGATGAAGAATGTCGGAAATTTTGGACTTTTAATGGTTCAGCAGTTTAGTAGAAGGAAATTCAGCTTCCAAAAATTATTCTGAATAAAAATTCAAGAGTGAAACCAACTGTTTCGGCAATTTTTTGGCCAAAATCTTCAAAAATGGATAATAAAAAAATTGTAAAAATTTTCAGTTTCAAGACAAATTCGGCATCGCAAACAGAACTTCCCTACTGTTTGTTAAATTTAGAAGCATTCAGCACAAAAATTTGAGCCATCAACAGCAAAAAATTTTTTATGAATACACCGAAAATACCTAAATTCATATCAAAATTCGAAATTAACTGAACATTGCGTATTTTACACCCACTCACACGTTTTTTTAGCATCTCTTCTAACTAGATCTAGCACAATTCTGCACTAGAACCACCAAAGAAATGGAATTTTTGATATTGTAGTGTACCTAAAATCCAAAACCACAGAAAAACAAGCAAAAACTCACTGTAATAGATCGGCTTCTTTGAGGATTAGATACAGGGATGGGGGCTGGCCGTCCATAGGATCGGCCGGCGGTTCTTTTGTCTTCATATACTTGGTCTCACAGGGTCTGATATTTTGCTGGCTACCGGCTAAAATACACATCATATTGTAGCAAAAAAGGTCTCAAATTGCGCGACAAGCCATAAAATATCATATTCACGCAAAATAAACGATAAAATTGTACAAAATACAACAAATTTTAGCAAAAATCTATAACTTGTCTAGTATAATATCCGAAAATGTTATTTTCGTGGCGTTTGGATAGTAAACGAAGCCGAAGGTTTCGTATACGTTTTAAAACCGCAAATCGGAAAGAATAAACAAAAAGAGCTGAGCGGACGTGTGGATGGTCAGTGGAGATTAGCATTTTTTTTCATATTTCTCTCAAAAAATGGGAGAGGAAATGGATATTTTTTGGGGGAAACAACGCAAAACTATTATTTCACAGTAAACAGCATATCATAATCTATGTGCCAGAAAGAAACAAGCAACGTATTTTAACTTTAAAATTCATTTTCGGACCTTGTTTTAGGTATGCCTCGAGGGAAATTTTTGATCAAAATTTCAAACTAAAACTAAAAAATTGGGGGTTTAAAATATGAGAATAGACCATAAATAAATTTTTATTAACACACAACGCAACAGGACAGCGTATTTTACCCAAAAAGTTTCATTTCCGCGATTTTTAGGTATAAAACTCATGTTTTTTGATAAAATATCTCACCAATCAACTAATGAAGCCATTCCAAAATCCCAAATATGCTCTGAAAATAATTTCCAAGTTATAACACATCGTATTTTACCTTAAAATAAGTCTTTCAACCCCAAATTTCCCCAATATTACACATGGTTTAGTTGGAAGCCCAAAAAAAAAGTTATAAAAAAATCCCTTTCCCAGGGTATGAGCGGCTTTTACTATGCGTATTCTCCAATTTTACTGCTCTCCCGAGATCTTCCACTTGTTTTTGGAAATAAATTTTTTTTTTGACAAGGAAAGTACTTTTATGGGGGCTCCTACTTTTTGACGGGACATATCTCAAAAAATCAGAAAAAATGTGCTGATCAAGGATATATAAATCTTAGCTGCCCATTTTAGGTTTTTAGGGGTGAAAAATCCATCGCAAGTTGATTTAAAGTCCTATATAAACCTCTTTTCGCGTAATTTTTCACAGGTTTACAATTTTTATTTCGGCTTAAAATGATGTTTATTGAGTTTCTAGGATGTAATAAATCAGTATTGGCACAAAAATTTATTTTTCCGACCTTCAACTTCAAAAAAAGTTGATTCTGCCCAAAAGGGAAATCGAACCCGTGCGGCGTCCTCCCTCTTGATTCCCAGACTACGGCACTAGCCACTCGGCCACACCGCTCTCTTCCGAAAGAAGAGAGCGACTGCGATTTTTATCGTTTCCAATGCCTGCGCCTTTTGTAGGGAAATTAAGCGAGTTTTTGGGCATTTTCACCCATAAAAACCTAAAATGGGCAGCTAAGATTTATATATCCTTGATCAGCACATTTTTTCTGATTTTTTGAGATATGTTCCGTCAAAAAGTAGGAGCCCCCATAAAAGTACTTTCCTTGTGAAGAAAAAACAGCTGGATGGGGCGCGAAGAACTGGGCAAAGCGGGGTTTCTGTTGACCCAAAATAAAAGGAAATGGGATTAGATGGCCGCTAATGGGTCAGAGAGGACAGCTCAAGAGCCATCGAGACGGGACATCCGATATTTTTTGGGGGAAATGCAATTTTCGGCAAAAATTGGGGATTTTTTGGAAATTTTGAAAAATTTGAGGGAAAAAAGAAAAAATAAGTGGAGAGATTACTGTCTAGGCTAACATTAGACACTCTTAGAAGTCATATGGAAGTAATTACTCAACATATTTTGAGATATTTTGAGGGTTTTTTGGCAAAAATTCGAGATTTGTTACCTAAAATAAGGTAAAATTGGAAAAAAGCTCCTAAAACACTAAAATAAATCCCCAAACCCTATTCAAATAACTTGACATGGCCTTAGACACTGTAACAAGCCCTAATTACCCGCTAAACCCGAGTACACAAAGGGTTGACACAAAAAATACGAAACTCGATCTTCCCCTTTCCCAATATTCGCTCGTTTAATGTCCGGTTTACGGAGATGGAAGGGAAAAGAGATGGGAAATGTCATACGTCTAAGTCTCAAGTCTATTTGCAACGCTCCGAAGACGAATTGCTAAAAAAATATCACGCTTTTCGGACATGAATAATATCCGATTAGATTGATCGAAATGACCAATTGTGATGTGAAAATGAAGGCAAAACTTTTTGTAAACAACTGAAACTATCAGTCTGGCCGAAAAAGAACCGGCCTCCCCGGACCCTTCCGTCGCACTCACTCCAAACCCCAATTTGCACCGCGCAGAAATTTGGAGGACGTCGCCGAAGAAAAGAGCAAAAACGACGCATCGCCAGCGATAAATGGGGGTTTTGCACAGTGCAAATGCCCTTTTTCTGCTGTTTCGCACTGTGCAATCAACAAAATTCCCACAAATTCAGCGATCTTTCGATGTCGCGCGCACTTTTGCGATGCATCGCGAAAACATTCAATTTCGAGGTTGCGATTTCGAGGCGCGAGGGGGGCCGGTTCTTTTTCGGCCAGACTGATAAATACTAGTCGCGGAAAAAAGTCCTGGGATTTTTCTGCGACTCTGCACTGTGCATGAACCCGAAAAGTGCTTTTGCACAGTGCAATTTTGTTGATTTTGCCTTATTGTCGCGCGGGATTCCCGCGACAAATCAACTTTTCGGGGCGCGACGGAATTTGGGGGGCGCGAGAAAATCCCAGGACTTTTTTCCGCGACTAGTATAACCCTCTATTTTATCAGAAAAATAACAAAAAACACATTTTTGATCGAGAAAAGATCAAAAAATTTGATATTGTTCTAGACACTAAAACAATATAAATTCATAATTGATTTTTGAAAAAATCGTAACGAAAGGACTCTTCAGGCATTCTGAACATCAAAGCAATAAACAAAACCCTTTCATTTCCTATCAAATTCTATCAAAAACAACAGAAACAATCAAAAAATCCCCGCTCCCCGCTGTAAATCTTCATACTACAGTCAAAAAAAGATTTACACAATTTTAAAACAAACCACACACAACCTCAAACCTTAAAGCCCCTAAAACAACCAATCCCACCCAAATTTCCTTGGAAACGAAGCGAAAAATTTATATTATACATGAGTCAGCAGTCGAAAACCGTCAGATCCAGGTCACAGAATTCCCCCAGCTAAAATTCGTGTTTTTTACAAACGCAAATGGGGCTGATATGATCTTCGACATCAGTGGAAACAAGGTCGCAAACTTTTTTAAAAAAACTTGAAGGGATTTCAATGAAATTCCGAGAGGAAACTCGGCAAAGGCTTTTTGGAAAGCGAGAGAGAACGAAAAAAGAAGAGAGCATCAGACAAATTTCTCCCGCGCTCTCTTCCATTTCTCTTATCTTTTCGAGCTCGGGCGCGAGGCGCGGCGAGATACAAAAAACGCCAAAAGATTTGAGGAAAATATTAAACTTTCTGTGGCGGAATGCCAAACTTTTGGCACTCATTGTTTTCGTGGTGGGAGAATATCGGAAACGCTGAAATGTGGATTTCACGTAAAATACGAGTTGCGCCAGGTTAGCAAGGATGCATAGAAGAGGAATATGTCAATTATAGTAATTTATCCAACAATTTTCCATACTAAACCAACAAAATATATGTTACTTTGGTCAAATTTTCCCAATCAACCAAAAAACTAACCGGCCTAGGGCGTAAACTACATTTTTATCGACCCATTAATCCCCCATCTCACCAACCCCCACAATAATTCCCCACAATCGGCTCTAAAACACGGGTTTCGAAAGGCTTTTTGGAAGAAAACTGACTCATTGGTCAATGTCGCGGGCTTTTCGAACAAGACCTCAAGACGAGCGGGCCCGAGGACATCTTGCAGACGAATGTGCCATACATTATGTTTAGGACAATGGAATGTTAAGAACTTCGTAATGGAGGCCTTTTCCAGCGTTCTCCGTTTCTAAAGAGGGCGGCAAAAAAATTAAAATAAAGATAAATTAGCCGGTCAAAAGGCGGAATGTTTTGCTTTTTGGTCTTTGGGGCGATGGACAGAGGTTTTTTTAGGGGCGATTGACAGCCTTTCATTGATTTAGGTTGGTCAGCTTTATATTTTTGAAGACGTTTGGTGATAAATTGATTTATTTTTGTGTTACAGTAGTTCAAGACGGCATATTATGTCACATAATTAACCCAAATGCTATAGAGAGCTTTTTAGAAATAACCAGCAGTACAGTCGAATGAAATGCCACCAAAACTTGTCAAGAACTTCAATTTTCGTGCCTTTTTTGTGATTTTCGCTATGTTACAGTAACCCTAAGAACCTAACATCTTTCCTAATGATTTTTTTATCAGCCCCAGGTCATACTGGAAAGTTATTGAACAGTTTTAAGCCTCTAAAAAGAAAGTTCCACCATAAGTCACCTCTCCCTCGAAAAATAAAATTTTCGCTATGTTATAGTAATCCTGGAAACTTATGTCTTGTTACAAAAGTGATCACTAATGTTCAAACATGCCGTCTAACAAATTTTTAAAAGTTTACAACTATTCCTTCCACTTTTATAGCCAACAAAATAAAAAAATAAAAATGTCCAGAAAATATGTCATGATGACGGATTTTTCGAAAACATCAAAATTAAACGAATTTTTAGAGCAAATACTACCCAAATAAAAAGTTTTCCCGATAATTACTACTTTTTATATAGTAGTATGAGCCATTACTACTTAACCGCCGGAAACAGTTAATTTCCCGATACTTTTTACGAACTTCAACTTTTCCAGTCTTCAGAACCGCAAACGTCAATTAAAACAAACTATCAGGAACGGGGACGTTCGGAATGTTTACCTTGACATTTGCTCCATCCAAAAAATGGGTTGTTATAAAGCGAAAAAAAAGACTGGAGAAGGGGCATACAATACACGAAAAATGGTGATGCGACGCCAATCCGATTATCGTT